AATACTGTATTGCACAAATTTTATAACATTCAAGAAAGAGAATTCTAAAAATTTTTTATTATCAATAAATGTCTCTAAAAACCAACCATTAACAAGATATAATGATCAGGATGATTGGAACATCTAAACAATTGATGAAGATATATTTTTTTAAATTTTATTTTTTGATTGCATAACGATAATGCGTCTTGAAGAAATGAGTAATTAAAAAGGCTACGACGTAACCATTATTAAAAAAGTATACTAACGTACAAAAGATGTGAAAATAATTATTTTATATAACAAGGTTACTTTTTCTAAGCATTTAACTCTTTTTATTTAATCAGGGAATAATTTTATCATTTTTTTTTGTTCTCTGTCCTAAGTTCGTTAATTAAGCTTTCTATAAAATAACAATATATTGATTATTGTAAAAATTTTTTTTGATATAATAACTAGTTGAATATCTGAATAGGTTAACTCTTTTTTAATAATTCTCCCTGGTAACGGTCTATCTTTGGACGGTTCAAACCAGACCATAAGACCGGTTTCGTAAATAAAGAAACTTGTTGATTAAATTTTAATTTAGAATTTATTTTTTTTTTAAGATTTACCAGAATACACTATCCATGTAAAGGAATTTAATGGCCTTTCATAATATTTAATAATGAAAGTATTGTTCCAGCCATGCAATTTGCAGATCTGTTCTATTTAGAAATATTTCCGATAAAATTTTCGAATACGATTTCCTCTTAAATTTATAAGTTACTTTATCCTAATTTTTAAATATTTGGCTTTATAAAGAAAAAAATAATTTGTTAAATTTCTTTAAAATTTTAATTATGTCAAAAACAAAATCTGAATATGATTACATTTTAGAGATAATTAATCCGACAGATAATATTAACACTCAAATTGATAAATTATTCATACTATTGATTAAAACACAAGATGAAGGTAAAAATTTTAAAGAAACGAAGCATTTTATTAATAAATGCATTACTCTTTCAACACAATCAAACATCGTTATTTTTAATTGGCTTAAATTCAATCAAAATGAATCAAAATATGTCTTCTTTCTTGGCATTTATTATTATTATAATATGCTTAAATTAGAAGATAAAGACAATAATAATAAAGGATTTATATGCTTCCAAAAATCAGCAATTGATTACCCTATTGCGCAATTATATCTAGGAAGATGCTATATAAAGGGATTTGGAATTGAAGTTAACAATAAATTAGCACTTTATTGGTTTCAAAAAGCAGTAGAAAATGGAAATATTAGTGCACAATTCCACCTTGCACTCTCAAATGATTATGGTAAAGGAACAGTAAAAAATTTAGAAAAGGCCTTTTATTGGTATCAACAAGCTATTAAAGATGGAAATACAAATGCACAGATTTTTCTTGCAAATTTATATTATAAAGGTGAAGGAATAGAAAAGGATTTAGACAAAGCCTTTTATTGGTATCAAAAAGCTGCTGAAAATAATGACGCTAATGCACAATTTAATCTTGCACTTTTATATGATTATGGTAAAGGAACAGTAATAAATTTAGAAAAGGCCTTTTATTGGTATCAAAAGGCTGCTAAAAATGAACAAAGTAATGCGCAATTTAATCTTGCAAATTTATATCATAAAGGTGAAAAAATAGAAAAGAATTTAGAAAAGGCCTTTTATTGGTACCATAAAGCTGCTAAAAATAATGATACAAATGCACAATTAAATCTTACATATTTATATTATGAAGGTAAAGGAACAGTAAAAAATTTAAAAAAGGCCTTTTATTGGTGTCAAAAAGCTGCTGAAAATAATAATGCAAACGCACAAAATAATCTAGCAAAATTATACAAAAATGGTAGAGGAATAGAAACAAATTTTAAAAAAGTCATTTATTGGTATCAAAAAGCTGCAGAAAATGATCAAATAAATGCTCAATTTAATCTTGCGAATTTATATTATTTTGGTAAAGGAATAGAAAAAAAATTTGAAAAGGCTTTTTATTGGTATCAAAAAGCTGCTGTAAATGGACAAATTAATGCTCAATATAATCTTGCTTATTTATATGATTTTGGTGAGGGAATAGAAAAAAATTTAGAAAATGCCTTTTATTGGTATAAAAAAGCTGCAGAATATGGACAAATTAATGCTCAATTTAATCTTGCAAATTCATATTATTTAGGTGAAGGAACAAAAAAGAATTTTGAAAAGGCCTTTTATTGGTATCAAAAAGCTGCCGAAAATGATCACGCAGATGCACAATTTAATCTTGCAGATTCGTATTATAATGGTAAAGGAATAGAAAAAAATTTAAAAATGACTATTTATTGGTATCAAAAAGTTGTAAAGAATAAAAATATAAAACAAGATTTTTACGAAATTAATAAAATTTCGTCAATAAAAGGATTTATAATAGAACCAGAAAATGATATTTATAATAAATGTAATAATTGTTTTAAAAAAAGAAGATCATTAAAAGAATACCATAAAATTTGTATAATTTGTTATCAATCCAATTTATTGTATAAGCCGAGTGGTAACAAAAATGTTGATGAATTTATTAAATACACACAAATCAATTTTATACAAGAATCTAGCAGAATGAAGTTTATTCCTTATAATCAATTTAATAATATAGAAAAAGTTGGCGAAGGAGGATTTAGTGAAGTTTATAAAGCTATTTGGAAAAATGGTCCACCATATTTGAATGAAGAAAAAGAAGATTTTGAATATACTGATTCTAATATATTAGTTGCTTTAAAGCAACTTAATAAATCGAAAAATATTACTTCTAAGGAATTAAATGAGGTATATTATTTATTATTATATTTTAATCATAATCATATGATATATAATATTTATATTAACATTTAAAATCATCATTTAAATTTAGCTAATAATGATATATAATGCCGATTTAAATGAGGGATTTATAAATTCGTTATTTTGTTTAAACAGATATTATGGAATTACACAAAATCCTGATACAGAAGATTTTGTAATAATTATGAAATATTATAAATATGATTTAAAACATTATATTACTGAAAACTTTTATAATCTTGAATGGAACCAAAAATTAAGAATATTACAACAAATTATCTATGCACTTGAAAAAATTCATAATCAAGGAATTATTCATCGAGATTTTCATAGTGGAAATATTCTTTGTGAAAATAAATATGATAATATGATATTGTAATAAGTGATTTGGGAATTAGTAAATTATCAACTGAAATATCGGATAATGATAATAATTATTATGGAATTATTCCTTATATTGCTCCAGAAATTTTTCAAAGAAAAAAATATTCCGAGTCTTCAGATATATATAGTTTTGGTATGATTATGTGGGAATTAATGACAGGTAGAAGACCTTTTTGGGATCGAGATTATGATACATCTCTTATTATTGAAATTTGTGATGGTTTGCGCCCTCCTATTAATACAACTACACCTGAAGGCTATAGCAAAATAATGCAAGAATGTTGGCATTCTGATCCGAGTAAACGACCAACTGCAACTGAGATTAATATCATTATTGAAAAAATTATTTTACTTGAAGAAAGGATTCCAACTATAATTAGAAAATCATTGGATACTGGACCTATACTAACAAATAATCTATTTACAAGATCTACAAATTCAAAAAGTGAAAGAATTTTTGGTTAGTATTTATATTATATAATTATATTTATCTTATTTTTAATTACTAAATTAACATATTGCATATATATTTTGTATGTATATTTATAAAAAGGTAAAAGAAAATATGACGAAAACCTGATTAATAGAAATAATGGTATGATATTCTGCAACGCGCGAAAAAAAAGAGAAAATTTAGTTAACAATTAAATTAAGCTTAAATTGTTCTTAAAAAAAACGTTACGTTATTAGATAAAAATACTAAAAAAATCAAATTCAATGAGATCAATTCTAATAAAAAATCTAACAAATATAGTAAGTAGGAAAAAGATTTCAGTATAATTAAAATTATTGCTAATTTTTTCTATTAAACACAACTAATTGGTATTTGTAATATATAGATTATGTTACCAAAGCATTAGAATTTGATATTAATTAAATGGAATACTTAATTCTTATAAAATATACTAACGTTACTGTATTTCAAAAATTTAGAACCTGTTCGGAACAATTAATCAAAATTTATGATAATAAATAAATTAGTTTTATTTTTATAAAATTTTTTTTTCTTCGAGGTCTTCAAAGTTTAATATGTTCTTTCCGATTTCATTCACCACATACATCATTAGATGAAATATCCTTAAAATTGCAAATACGGTAAAAACGGTGGATATAGATTTACATTTGAAATAATCTACTACTCAGCTTTAAATGAACTTAGTATATTAATGCGAGATATTTCATTTTTCAATTTCAAAAGTTCAAATCAAAAATCAAAAAAAAAGAAAAAAAAAAGACCACGAGATATCGAAAGTACTAATTGCACAAAGCAATTATTTGTCAATAAATGATTTAATTACTGAAATTGTTGTAGCTTTTAAATATATCAACATGGAAATTTATGCTATACTGTATTTTTTTGTTAATTTTAAATTTAGATTTGAGCAAGCATAAAAAAGAATTATTTTTTATAGGGAATTGTATTTTACGCATCACGTGTACTTTGCTCTAAAATTGAATTTCGGACGGAGTTAAATTCATCTGCTAAAAAAATCTTTATTCGGTTAAAAACTAACCGTCCGTATCTCTAAAATGACACACGGAATAAAGTAAATTAATTTTATTTCTTATTACAAATTTTATTGCATCATCTTTTATTTTCTTCATAAGACTAATATAAATGACATCTGATACAGAAAATTTTCTAAAATTTCATTATTCCTAATTCATTAAATCATATTGTTTTACTAGAACGATTTTTATCATTCTTCATCAAAATACACATTGCTTTAGAATATAAAAAAAAAATGTTGCTGCGCTTTTCATCTATTATAATAATCATGGGGGACCCAAATACTAGCTATAATAAAATTAACTTTCAAATTGGCCCGGAATTCTGGTAGAGGAAGATATTTTTCGAAGGGACGAACGGAAATCCTCAATAGAATTGTAAGTAAAGCTTTTGACACCAAACTTTTCGAAGCAAGCAAATTTCGATATGCTTATATTATTGTGGTGAACGATAATTAAGGAATCATAACGTTCCTCCCTGAGATCTCTATAAAGTATTTCCACAAGTCTTACAAAATTGGTTTCTTCTAGGTATTTCTGGATTTTTGTAGAATAGATTTTGTTTTTGCTAAAAGTTTGCTTAAAAAGATAAAGGATCTCCTGTACAAAATTGGATTCATTTAGACCGATAAGAACCAAAAGCCGTATCAGTCGAAGGATAATTGTCAAGTAAATCTTCTGCTTAGAAAACAACAGATCAAGAAGATTTCGAACTTGATCGATGGAATTATTGATAGCAAACAGATAGTTCTTTCTGCTGTAAGTATATCGATCAGGAATGAGCGGTTTCGCGGTAAATGCGTCTAAGTAATCAGTCAAAAAACTTCGAGGAAGACAAATATCGCAATGCACTTGTCCAACTGCGAAAATTAAAGACGTTGTAAATTCCATGAGAGATGTAAGATCTCCAAGAGCATCGGATGAAGTCAGATTGATTTGTTCAATATTTTTTATGGCATAATTAATAAACGTCCTTGAGCTTATGATCGCGGGTATCACTTTATTAGTATAAAGAAATAAAAAAAATTGCGAAAGACTTCTTCCAACTGGAATTGCTTGATAATTTCCACAGTAATATTCAAAACCCACGGCTAAGTCATTAGGATGCGAAAGTAATTTTGTTTTCGACATCTCCCGATTAAACTCATCAATGACCGTTTTGTCTTGCAGTTGCTGTATAACATACATACATTTTAATAAAATTTCAAAGTCGCTAGCATTTTTTGACTCATTAAATAACCATGTCTTGTATGCTGCATTAATATGAGCATCACGAATGTGAATGGGAGGTTTGGTAAGAGCGATGTAAGTAACTTCTGGGCAGCTTATATGTGGTGATTGATAGCACATATGACATTTAACCAGATTCTCAGCCCACCAATTTTGTGAAGCAAGGAATTCTTTACTTTCTTCACTAAGATGCCCATAATGGCATAACACATCCAACTGTCGCACTACAGTATATTGGAGTCTTGCCAGTTTCAGGCGTTGGAGCAGAAATGGTGATGACGAATCCTGACTGTAAACTACATCCGGATTACCCCTCCCAACCTGATCGACTTTCGAAATAAGCTCGCAGATATATCTAATAAGGAATTGTGAAATTTTCTGATGCACAACATCAAAGTCATAAAACTTCCCACAATCCGTAATTGATTCTTCATTTTCTTTATTTTTATGCTTGATATCCATAAGAAAATAAAGAGGGTTGTAAGTAAAAAGGTTCAGTCCCCGAGAGTTTTTTATTTTGTTTTCAAAACATAAAAAAATATCCTCGAATTCTTTCGAGATTTTTGAAATATCGTCATTATTTTGTGGGGTTATATAAGGAAAGACTAATTTACAGAGTCTCAGCAAGCATTGTAACCGTTCATTCCAATACTTGATATTCATATCAGGTGGTGAGGGAATTTGAAGCCACATGAATACTGCAAAAAACTCGCTGATAAACTCTTCATGATTCATGAAATACTGTCCGCACTCGTGTACTTGATCGAGATCCTCATTTAAATAAGAATCATATAAATGAGTCTCTTCCATCAGAAATTTCGATAGTTTAGATTGAATTATAACTTTTGAGATAGCCTTGGCCGCTTTGGTTTGGAGTCTACATAATTCACGCAGGGAACTTGAGCTTGTGTAGCCTATAATTAACGCTTTCAGTACATTAACTCTGCAAAGGCGTACTAGATATTGCGACGCATCTATTGCATTCTCATAATTATCAACCGAACGGTTCAGCATGTCGGCAGCCTCTTCGAATTCATTATGCGAAATAAGTTTCTCTGCTTCTTTGCGAAAGAGGAGATCGAGTTGACGAACCGTTTTATCGTCGATGTCTTGTCTGTGCCTTATTTTATATTTAAGAAAGTGTTATTATTATTTTTTATGAATTGACAACAAATGGAAAATTTTTATAGAATTTACAAAATCTATCAGGTTACTTGTTTACCTCTGAATCAAATCGGCTACCAAACCATAAATATCGAGATCATTATTTAAGTAAGAAGAATATAACCGAGACTCTTCCATAAGGATCATCCATTGTTTAGATTTACTTATAACTTTTGAGATAGCATCGGCCGCTTTAGTTTGGAGTCTGAATAAATCCTGTAGGGCAATTGAGCTTATATAACCTGTAAATATCTCCTTCAGTACAATAATTCTGCATAGGCGAAATAGATACCGAGAAGCATTAATTATATTGTCGTCATTATCAACCGACCGGATAAGCATATCAGCAGCCTCTTCGAACTTATTATGCGAAATAAGTTTATCTGCTTCTTTGCGAAAGTGGAAATTGAGTTGACGGATCGTTTTGTCGTTGAAGTCTTGTCTGTGCCTTATTATTTAATAGTTTAGACAAGCGTTATGAATTGAAAATAAACGTTCTTACGAGAAATTACAGAATCTATCAGTCACTTAAGCTTACCTTTGAGTCAAATCGGTTACCATATCATAAATCTCGAGTTTTTCATTTAAAAAGGAAATATATAACTGAGACTGATCTGTCAATCTATTCCATTGTATAGAATGATTTTTAACTTTTGAGATAGTCTTGGCCGCTTTGGATTGGAGTCTACATAATTCTTGCCGGGTATTTGAGCTTGTGAAACCTGTAAATAACTCTTTCAATACATTATCTCTACAGAGACGAAAGAGACACTTAGACGCCTCGATTGTATTTTCGTCATCATCAACAGAACGGTTTAGCATATCGGCAGCCTCTTCAAACTTATTATGTGAAATAAGTTTTTCAGCTTCATTACGAAAGTGGATATTGATTTGTCGGATTGTTTCATCGTTGATGTCTTGTCTGTTTTTAATAGTTAGACAAGAGTTAAACTAATTTTTCATTTTTTTAATGAATTGACAACAAACTGAAGATTTTTACGAGGAATTTACAAAAATTATCAGGTAAGCTCACCTCTGAATCAAATCAGTTATCATATCATTAAGGTTGCCATCTTTATAGGCAAAGGCTGCATGATTGTATTTTTTCGCCTTTTCAAAATACTCTCCTGCTACGTTCCACATCTTGACTTCAAGATAACAACGTGCGGCAGGCTCAAACATTTTTGATACAGAATAAATATCTCCAGCTTTTTTATACATGCCTATGCTCTGAAAGTATTATAAAATTATAAATATAATCATGAAAGCTTTCAAGTGCAAATAAATTGCACCGAATAAAATTACATAGCAATAGAATTGAAACTACGTATTCACGATAATACCTCATAACATGAAGCTGCCTGTGGCAACCGGGAACATTCTTCAAAGGCTTGAGCGGCAGTTACGAAATTGGACTTCACAGTATTTTCATTAGAACCGGTTAAGAAGGAAGTTCTAGCAACCTGTTGAAGATGATACGCACGAGCTAGCTTTAAGCTTTTCTCATTTCCACTTTTTTTGAAGCAGAAAAGAGCCTAAGGGTGATTCCGACTCGTTTAGTAACTCAGCTCATTTTGCATAGCAATTAATAATTTTGAGCTTACCTGTACATACTTCCGTTGCTCAAAAAACTTCTTTCCTTCATAATTCCATTCAGACGGACTACTCGTCTTAGTCAAGGTAGAAATGTCGATTTCATTCGTTACTTTCACTAGCTTTTTGTGTATCCAGTATGTACAGATTGACTCACTCAACTTCGCATCCTCTTCAAAAATCCAGAGACGCTCTCTGGCTCTGGTTATGGCAACATAGAGATGTTTGAATTCTGAGGAAAGAATATAATGCTTTTCAGGAAAAAATTTCCGAATTCCTTTAGAATAGTCATCCAAATCGGAGAGAATTACTCGCCACTAAATATGAAGTATATAATAGAACAGCTTTAATAAATGACTTTATTATGCTTTGAAACA